ACCAGGATCAGGTGGCTCAGACAACTCTTGGACCACTCTGAGAATTTAGTGTGAATATAAAACCAGGTATATGCACACAGAGAATTTTCAGTCACATGATTTTTGATGGCCAGCATTATACACAGCGGTGCAGTGAAATGCGGGTGCCTTTGAAGTCTCTCAACATCCTGGCGAACATAAAATTGCCAACAGAAATACATGTACACAGATTCGAAAATGAAGGCACCTTCACGGATATAGTACACTTCCTGAAATGCCTTTGTCCATCATGTCATGTCACCTGAAAAACCTCTACGTACATGTACATGCCCAACACTAAACACCTAATATCACATCGCTTTCCAATACGTGTTATGCCTTCTGGGGAAACAGCCCCCCCCCAAATATTTGCCTGCAACTGGGGACCCCCTATTGTTCCTCTTTTGTTTGTACTTCAACTTTTTTAGAAGACCACCCATATGTTTTGTACACAGTTGTCAATCGAGGACCCTCTCTCAATTGGGGACCTTATTGTCCTCTATTGTTCTTCAGGGTCCCCAACTGAATGCAGAAACAAACTCACACACACTTACCTTTCACATACCTACTGTGGACATGCCTTTCTTTTCGTGCAGTTGAGAAAAGATACTCAGTTTTCTTGAAATGGCAACACAATTTTCAGCTGGGTTTTTTGGTACAAGGTTTCCTAGACTATTCCTCTTCCTTTTACGGCGGATGACCCCTACCCATAAAATGCCTCTAAACTTCTTCAGAGAAGGGGAAACGTCCTGTGGACGTGTGTAAATCCACAGAGCGGGGAATGTACCATAAAATGGACGGGGGGTGTTCTGGAAAATGAAAGTATAATTCTAGAACACAATCGTTAGAAATCTATCATACACGTACATGTATGCTGACTTCTTTTGACTCTGACTAAAAAGGTATTTATGAATGGGAATACATACGTGCTTGGCAGGTCTTAAACTGGCTCAGGAGAACGAACGCTGATAATGCCTGTGGCCTGGACATGAGTTGCATCCATTTGCCTGAGCTGGTCTTAAACGCACGTTTAAGGCCAGCCAAGCACATATTTATTCCCTTACTCATACTAAAGAAACATTTAGTAGTTACCGGATTTTGCTATTTTTGTTCCCACATCAGGCAGTTCGATAAATACAATGTCTCCTAGAGATTCCTGAAATTATATGACACAAATGTTCAAAATGTGAGTAAAGAGGTCACTGCAAATCTGTAAGCTGTTACAACATTGATTCTGTTATTCACTGGTGTCTAAATTGGTAATGCTGTTAATGACTATGGCTATTCTCAGTGGCACACAAATGATAAATACTGAGCCACAGCCACAACAACACACATGCTGACATAGCTTTCTTCTCGGTGATCACGGCTCCATCTTGTAAACCTCATCATCATGTGGTGTACCAGTACATGCAGTTATTTCACCTCGTAAACATTTTTCAAGAGAACAGTTCAAATTTCCTGCACACTTCTGCTTCCTTCATTATGCTCCTCAAAACACCACAAAATATTGAAGCCTGTTAAATGGCATACATAACTCTTGTTTTTTAACAATAAGTAAGCACTCTTTTTATCCAATCAGCTGAATATGCAACATGTTTCGTGTGAAGGATGGTTCACTCTTGTCACCAAAGACCCCAAATGGAGAAAACTGCCATATGCATATCAGTGGAATATCTTGGTATTCTCTGGAGAGATCAGCAAATTAATGTAGAGAAGCATGGGAAATTCTCTTGATGTACACAAAGCGCTGCATGGCAGATTCGATTGGAGATCAAGTAAACGATCTGTAAAGGCAACTGAAACCATATTGGTCTTACAGTCACTTCATTACAATTTGTTGTGTGAGCTCGCAAATGGTAAAACAATTATGACAGACTTCAGGTTATCGGCTTGAATAGTAGCCCTTCCCTTCTCTATAGCTATGCAGACAGCTCTATCTGCTTGAAGGAAGAGAATCAAACTGTCTTCCTTGCAACAATCGGCTCGGGGTGGACACAAGGGGGAGTGTCATGTTGCATAGCAACAACCTGACCTTAAGTTGAAACTCAACACTTGCGTAAGCAAGTTTAAGCCTGTTTGATACAGAATGCGCTGGAACATAAGAGACCATTTTCTGATTGACTGGTTGGTTGGTTGGTTGGTTGGTTGGTTGATTGATTGATTGATTGATTGATTGACTGATTGAATGGTCTTTGTGTGTGCACCTGCCTGTGCACAAGCCCAGTTGAAAGACATCCCGCCAGCCCACCCCTCTTCAACTCATGAGGGCGTACTTCAATTCAGAGCGGATTACCTGGGCATGGTCACTTATTCCAACTGTAGCTGTCTCCTTGCTATCGTCTGATAGAAGCCACTCATGATCCTTGGAAAATAAACGATCTGTTGGAAAAGTCAAGGGATAAATTTAGAATAAAACTACTCCAGTTGTGCCATTAGAAAATACAAATTCATCATGACGCCTGTTGAAATTATTTCTACATTTTCATCACTGCATGCTCTCCAGATTTCGTGCCAAACCAGAATTTCCTCTAAATATTTATATTTTTCTGAAAATGTCTTTTCTTCCAATGAAGTGTAGTTACCAGACAAATATTTCCCCAAATCCCACTGATTTGCACAAGAACAGTGAATTGATTTTGAATTTTGTACACAATATCCATACATAGTACATGTACTAACTCCCATACACACATGTACATGTGCAGGTATGTACATGTAGCTAATGTGTGGTGCCCCATGGCATCCTTGCATATCAACATCCCATCAATTTGACATGGCTCCTGACGGATGATGGCAACCTCCATACATGAGCATAGTCATTCATGTAAACAGTTGTTTTTGTATACACAGGCCTTGAAAAGTCCCAACATGTCATCAGTTATGCCAAGGAAAGTGGAAAAAGTTCTTGGAAAGCTGTACTCCAGAAGCTTGAATCTCCAATGCCACAGGTTGATACAAATCCAAAATTTATACAAAAATTTAGCATTACATCATAGGTTACATTGTACATGTTCACAATTATTAATTTAATGATAAACGTACCAAGCAATATGACTGTACATGTACATTACAGTACTGAAAATTATCCCATTTGACATTACCGTAATTGTTTCTAATCATTTGTCTTCAGTTTACTCCTTTATGTTTCACAAATTGGACAAGGCTTTGTATCGGCTGAGGCTTGATGCAGATGTCTCCAGACTCCATCCATCACCATGTACAGGGACATTTACATGTACACACTTCACTGTTGGTCTGCTGTACTGAACGGCCTTGACCAGGAGGCAATTTTATAGGGGACTTTGGGCTAAAGTAAACAAACGGGGGAGGGACACACTACCAAGACAGGAGGGGGGGGAATCCAACTGAGACTGAAATAAATGGGGTTTTCCTCACTAAGGGGCATTACTCCTATCTTCTAAACAATAAAGAATACATACATGTTAAATAACAACTGAAAATTGGCCCTGCCACACATGATTTGGAAATGCATGAATATTCCACCTACAGTGTATGACATATACAAAGCAGAATGAATGTTGATTTGCATGCTGCATGAGCAAGATGTTTGCATCATAAACAGGTTTATTGAATAAGAGAGGTATCAAACCCTGAATAGTCGGAAACCCAATGACGTAATGCAATGTTTACCGTAGTGCATTGTGGGTGAAAGTGAGGATACTAGAAATCAAAGATGGTGGACATGATTGTCAGTCATGCAAGCCTTCCTGCGACTTAAGACGGAGCACACTTGTGGTCTCGTGGAAGATTGAAAAAATGAAGCTCTGGCATTCGTCATTTGCTTGATACACAAAATGGCACACAACAGTTAACACAAACCATTTTGGAAAATATAGGCCTTCCCAATCTCAGGAGCTTTTTGACAATTTTCTATGAGCACAATGCTGTTGCAATGGCGCATGACGTACTGTCAGCCTCACCTTCCACCCACAATGCACCATAGTAAACATTACGTTACATCATTATGTTAATATGTTTTAGGTCCATTGTGAACAGGTGAGGTGTGGCAAAATGTCAGAAAAAGGTCGAACACTCAGATGCCACACTCTTGGTAGTGCACAATCCGATAGTACCGCTTGCTTGGTTGATTTCAAATGGCCAAACATATTGCAGTGAGGAAAAGATTAGAGCAATGGCCCTATTTGTCTTCCCACATAACACAATGTTTGAAATCTATATGTAGGATTCGCTACAGTGAAAAACCAAACAAAATATTTATATGACATAGATTCAATGTATAATACAACTACATGTATTGTGCTACCAGAATAACTGCATTTCCTCAAACGAAAGGCTTTCTGGTCTCTGCAATGCATTTTTAAAACCCTAGCTCCCTTGGCAGGGTGATGCATCAGTACCCTTAGGAATCAAACACTGTACACACGAAATGTTGGACTCTATTTATGTGGTATGTCTAATCCCAGTTTACATGATAAGCATCCCAACAGATTCAAAAAGGTGTGTGATACAAAACTGCTGCAAACTGCTTGCTGACTACAATGACCTAATACACAAATCTCAAAATATGGAGGGCCTGACGTTTCCATCCCAGCAGAATCTTTCTCAAAGGCAAACTTGGCATTTTGCCTTTGAGAAATATTGTGCTAGGATCGAAATGTCAGGCCCTCCATATTTTGAGATTCAAAAAAGTTCTGAGGTTGGAGTTTTGCTGGTGGGGGTCATTATGGGTTTTCATTAAAAAAAATCTGAAATACACCTTAAGTTTCAATTTTTGTTTCACCATTTTTCATGTATTTTGCTACCTTTTTAGTTTTCATGCTAATGACTATTTCTATATGAGTAAAGACATGATGTCATACCAGGAAGAAACCTCCATGTTACAATGGTTTGCTCACATTTTCTTTTATATGTTGTTGGCCTAATATTTTATTTTACTTTAGAAATTCAATGCTGTGTGAGATACTGTGGCAAAAGGCAAGCAAGCAAACATTCCTCAGACATGTTTTCAGTGAGTAAATTCTGGGTTCACAATTGGAACAGAAACACCTTTAGACATGTATGCACTGAATCTGGACTTCCCTTGATGACATCACAGTAACAGCGCCCTCAGTTGTCCAGGAAAGGACAAACAATTTTGAATGTTTACAAAGTGCAGTTTCACCAAACCTAAAAACACTGAAAAAGAGTGCAGACTTGCAGAGAAACTGTCTACGAAAATTCATTGCTGCTACCCTAGGGCCCGCGCAATGTAATTTTTTTTCTTAAGGCAATTCTTCAGCACATTCCTTGCGCCCCATTTAACCTGATATTTGATTCCAGGCACAGATCCAGGGAGGTGGGTTTGGGAATCAATCCCCTCTCTGCTCTGACATACAAAATGAAATAACAATACAGTAACAATGAAATAAAAGTGACATCCTGTAAGGGTTCTTATCAATCGTACATCCAAACTCATGGATCCACCTGTCTGCAACAATCAGACAAAAAAAAGTTTTGTTGATTTTTTTTTCAATGTCAGTCTCCGATTGTGCTGCATGTGCCAAGCTGAAATTCTTCCCAACCTGTCTTTTCCAGTCAGAATTGACACAGTGCTATACTTAAGGCATGATACTACATGCACCACAATGGCTAACGTTCTGGTACATGTACATGTACAGTGTAATTTCTTCAATTACAAATGCACCAATCCGGAATAATACAATTTGATAAGGGCCCTTTTGGACATCAGTAATTTCCTTTGCATTGGTTACTGGTGGTAACATACATGTATCTTAAAAGTCAAATTTAGCAGGGAAAATATTGAAGTATTTATTCAGAAAACACTTCAAATTTTAAGGCCAGTCTCGTGGGGTCTGTGCTTAAGGTGTCAAGCGGTGTCTGGGTTATGGTACTCTGTTCTAAATGTTTTAGGAGGACAAAAAAATAACGAATTCCAATTACTTTGGCAGCGTGCTGTATATTTACCCGGCGCCGGCAAATTACTAAACAATATTTTGCCAGGCACATCCGCAGTGCCTTTTTGAACTTAAAAATTCATATGCAGCAAGGTATGAGATGGAGAGAACCCCCCCTGCTTTGTGTTGGTCATTGTCTCGCAGGAATCTGGGGAATTCCTTTCAGACATCTTGGGGGGGGGGATGTGTTAAGTAACAATAGTCTGGACATGTTGGGGGGTACCCCTCGGTCTCATTTCTTGCTGGGTATATAAAAATTCTTACTGTGACCAATCTTAGTCTGGTTCTGCGCCGTCATAGTCATTGCGACTCATTATTCATGGGGTGGGAATCACACCATTTTACAATTTTGGACTTTATCTCTAAAAAAAACCCTCCAGAGCCACGAATCAGAAAAAGAAAAAGCTCTAAAAAACTCTGTAATAAAGTGTCAGAGTCAATTTAAAATTAGCACAGAATATTCTTAATTTTGGGGGATGAAAAAAGGGGCAATCACTAGATTTCGAACCCAGCTGGGAGCGTGCCATGTGATCTCAAGATAACAGTATGCGCGCTATTCATCTGATCACAGACCCTACTCGAACCTCGATGTGATTTAATAATCTTTATTGGCTCTCTCATGTTTACGTGCCAAAGAGGGCACTGTCTACTTGTGACTGGCTAAATTGATGAAATACTGCTAATTTTTGCTGGCACTGGCTAAATTATACACTATCAATTATGCTTCTTGTCAAGGAGTTTTCAGTCATGCTTGGAAAACAAAAACCAGTAATTTCATGCCTTGCTTTTAATTCAAACTGGTAATCACAATTCTTCATGTTTATTATGCTTTCCAACCCAGCCAAATTCCATAGGCCTGTAAATGTTTTGTTTATTCTTTGTATCCACAAGTCACCATACATGTAATTTGCGCACTTAGTACTTTGACAAAAACTTGTTCTTAATCTAAATTTCTGATGGCTTCATTCTCAGTAGTTGAAAGTTTGACTAAAATCCTACATGGAATAATATGAAAGACATCGGATGTCACCGAAACAACAGGAATATTGTCGTTTGCAAACAAGTCGGATCGGCTGTAGTACACGTACATGTAAAACCTACGTCACCATAATTTGTTGCACACGTCATTTTATGGGGTATCGGTGATGCTCTACGTGTACTTATGAAAAATCTGCCTGTTAATGTCTCTTGAATGAGGAATTATTTTTAAATATTATTAAATTAATGTCAGTGCATAATTTCATTGAAGAGTTTCACGCCCAGAAAGTTGGACACGAGAATATTTGTATGTGCAAATTTAGGGTAGGCCCTACATACTGTACATGGGACCGCAATGGAAATAAGTTTTATTTAACTTTTTTGTGTTATCCCTATCATTTCCACTTTTGGGAATCTTTGAGTTTGCTTTTCTTTAATTAATTTTTTTGTAGTATTTTTGTGGGGGAAATAGTGAATAAATCAAATCAAATATTCCACGACAACTCAAGGCAATAGGCCCAGCAGTAGGCCAGTGTAAACCGTTACAATGTAAATTAAGCATGTTAGGGCCCAAGTCTGATAAAAAAATAATGGCCAACACTGTTTACTGTTAATACCAAGATTCAAGTAAGGGGTAAGCTGGTAAGGCCTTTATACTCCTGTGCAGTATATCAAACAAAAAGACAACACACGCTTTTATTTAATCCTACCTGCACTAGCAATACTTGTGCGACTGAATTCCCTTCGACCGTAGACATGGTGGATACCCGGCAGCAACTGTTGTCTCACTGGTTTTGAACAATTAAAAGAAGGACGCACAGTCCAAGCACTCAGTCGACATACTCTAGAACACAAACTGACAGATTGCTGAAGGAGCCTTGGACACGCCATACCGATGACAAGTTGGGGAGAAATATGAGAAATTCAGGGCAGAAATTTTAGTTCGATCTGACCAGGATCAGCTAGCTAAGCATGCCCTTGCCGCCGAACCGGTAAGCTTTTTCTACGTACGCACGTACGTAGGTACCGGTACGTATGTACATTGTACGTGCATGAATCCGCAACATGCTCACCTTGAGAGCGCCGCCTTGCGACCAGACATAGGTATTCGATGGGGGTGTTTTCCTATCTAGTGGCTAATTCAGCATTCATCGTATAGTTTAGAAGGCAAAAAGATATTCTACTTAAAGTTTACACTCAAGACAGGATAAACCCTGCAATAATATGGCCATAAATTGACGACGACTGGAAATTAAGTGGAAAGTTGAGAAACAAGGTGAGAAGTTGGGGTAGGATAGCCACAATACTACAGAACTGTTGCGATTGGTCCGCTCTGGCACACCCCAACAACGCCTTCAACACAGGCTACATCGATATCTGTTGGGAGCTCAATGGGAAAACGTGGTGGATATGCTTACAATAGACCGAGTCGTAGCTCTAGGAGCTCGTTTGGACACGACTTTGAGAGCGATCGCATGCATGTACAGGGGGAGGGGGTGTCTTTTACGGTGGGATATCACGTTTGTAACGCCGAGCCATCCATGGTTGACCTTGATGGTGACAACTAACGTAACTATGGTGACATTCTGAGGGGCCACATGGACACACATTTTTTCAAGGGGCACTAAAAGCAAAGCAAAGAGCTATGGCTTGTGCATATGCTTGTATACATTTGGACATTTGGGCGTTTCCTATGTGCCTCCCCCTAGTTGTGCTACTGCTTATAGTGCTTTCAGTCCAGTGGTCTGCCCGAACGTCCTTTGGAATAATTCTTCAAGATTTTTTTTTTCAGTAATAATGATGATGACTGCATTTATATGGGGCATATTAAGCACAAGATACGAGGGCTTCTGACCATCCCTGCTCATCACCGCGGCCACATTCCTACGAACCCCCTCAGGTCCCCCTTGGGTATACTGCTTTAGCTGTCATGCATTACTGGTGCAAACGGCGAACAACTCTTACCATTTATTAGGGTATAACATCTCCACTTTTCGACCAAATGGGGATTAGCTATTGAATTTTCCCCCACTTTTTCACGATGAGCAAAAAAGTAATAAAAAAGGGGATTGTGAAGACTTTTTTCAGACTTCCCAAAGACTAAAAATATCATACAAAAAGGGAAAACAATTTTTTAAAAAGCCATAAATATGCCATTCTGATGTAGCACTCTGATAGCACCGTGCAATGTTACAGTGGTTTTCGTCCCCATTTTTTTCTCTTTCTTAGCTGCAATATATGAGATGGGGGCGGGAACCAGTCAAGTGAAGTTCCATGTAACGGGTACCGTTGAATAGAACATATCATTCAATGACATGACTACTAATCAGATGGCAGGGAATTATGCAGGTACGATTTTTAATATCAAGATTATACAGCAGGTAAGTACCTTTGCATAATGTTTAATTCATTACACGCATATTATTTATACAGCAAGGTGGTCCTGGTCAGGCAGCTCAAACTCAAATTTCGAATTTCTTGTATTTTTCCCCTACTTGCCGTCGGTATGGCGTGTCCAAGGCTCCTTCAGCAATCTGTCAGTTTGTGTTCTAGAGTATGTCGACTGAGTGCTTGGACTGTGCGTCCTTCTTTTAATTGTTCAAAACCAGTG